GACATTTCATCATCTCGTTGTCTACTAGGTAAATAATATCTTGTAGTTGTTTACATCTTGGGCATTGCCTTATCTAATCTTATACTACCAAGGAGAAGGTGTCTTCTATACGTGTAAGATATGTATCTCAACTATTTTTTTTTAGAATTTCTCAATACCTGAGCAGGGTACAAGTATACTGACATGTCGACGCTTAGGCTCCGAGACATCCGCATTGAACGGAGGGATTGCACCTGTCTCATTCATAGCATGATGAGAGGATCCAGTTGCGATAATGGACGTTTCAATCTGCCATTATCTCGGTATCCATCAAAGTTCCACCGGGTCCAGAAACCCACTCAGTGCATTCCTCTAGCTCGGAGACCAAGTAAGGCTAGAATTAGCATCAGAGTTGAGAAGTCATGTCAACCAATGGCTACGTGAACTCCTCAACGTATCACTGCCTCTCAAGTAAAGCGAAAGCCCATCAATAGCTATACTTGATCAACTAGGATACCCAAACGATTCACTTTCAATGTAAATGTGCATAATTTAAACGCAAAGCATACATCCCATGGATCAACCTCTCCCCTCCCTCCAGCACCTACAGTCTTCACGGCAAAGTTCACCCGGTGCTGAACTTAATTGCTCTAGACTAGGAGCTCCATTGTTTCCTCGTTCCATTGACGCCACTTGCTGCCATCAAGGGAACACAAGATCTAAGCCCTTCTCAGCCGTCCGTCAACCATTGATCATGAAGGACACCCACTCGCCTGTGCGGGCACCAACAACATCGCGCCCTGTGGCTTCGTCTCTCGCCAACGGTCACGTCACATCGTATCCCATAGCCCTCCAACATCCGCCCATGCAAGGTACTCCGAAAACAGCTTCCCCGCCCTCTCACCGAATCCGAATCTCCGAACCTCCTCTCCCGAGCCCCCGCAAAGCCGCGCGTGCCAGGGATCCCCCTCCCCGGGCTAATCCACCCTATTGGAGTGATGCCCACTTCGCCGAATCTCCTCCATAAAGGCCATCTTCGGCGTTGAAACCCCTTGCGCAGCCGAGGCGGTTACATGATACAATGTATTGCAGAATTGCCGCAAATATACAGCCCGTTTGCCGCTCATGTTTGAAACAAGAGATGCCGCTGCAGCTTCTCGATTGATGAGTATTGCGTCAGTCACAAAATCAAAAAAACAGATTGTGATGTGAAGGCGTTGCGACACACTGCGAGGCGTAAAGGAGCCCGCCCCAGCGAGACAAGTCCGAACCGTGCTTGCTTGCTACAATCCCCGTCGGTCTTTCGGGTCGTTCAAGGCCTAGGCCGTCCACATGGATTCAGAAAATGACGCGTTTCTTGGGCTAGAAGCCGGAGCAACTTGCTGTTGGTTGGATGCTGAAGAAACAGAACTCATAACCCCCCACGGATTGAGTGTGTGCCCGGATGGGACAGCTGACGGGGCAGGTCAACTTGGGCTGGCAGAGTTCAACTCCTCGTCAGTTTATTTCTGTTCTTCTTTTTTCTTCCACTTCGTCTGTATATGAAACGATGTTTTCATCAGCAATTCGACAAGCATAGAGTTATACCATGGTAGGAAGTGCGCCTCTTGTTGCTGACGATATCGTATATCCACAACAATCGGCAGCCAGAACACATATCCCTCAGGGCACCGCAAGGAAAGGACCAATAATCATCATTGATTGGGGTACTAAATAACGACACCTCGGTCCGAGCTACTTGATGTACATCAATGATAATTCACAATACGCGGCGTGATCGCGGCGCTGAGCACTCTTTCGCGTCCGGACTCATTGTCCGCTCGTCTCACGGCGGCGCAGCAAACATTCGAGGTATAGTCTTCAGCTGCTCTATATATACATTCACGCTCTCAGCACCCTTAGGACATCAAACCCCGCCACATCTGCCAACTCATCAGTCGACGCACTTTGCGTAAGTTAGTTGGTTACTCTGCATCGTTACAAAGCAATGAGTAAAACGATACGTGTACAACTTGCAACTCAGGAGGCAGAGTAGATGCACCCAATGCCTCCATCTCCTTTCCCATACCGCCCTTTCGACCCGACATTGTCGTGGTATCACCGATATACGAAGAGATGAGAAAAAAAAACGGCTCGAACAAAGTGCCTTTGTTTGGAAATGATAGGCAGCCGTGCCTCCGCGTATAGGTAAATACGGTTCCGCAATAGCCGCAATCACGCTTCGTTTCCGCAGCCATCATGCACCGCTCGTTTGCCTTTGGAAACTATTCTTTACTCCTCCGTACATCTCATCTCGTATAGGTGGAAGAATAATGACATTTGTTTTCGTAGATTGGCTTTCGAAGTAATAGCCACAGTCCACATTCGTTGTAAGATGGATATCGCCCGTATGCACATGGTCAATCCCAGTAGAGCTCGGCTAATCCATGAAATGTGCCCCCCCTATGAGATTGAGTGGTGAAACCCATTTTCTTCAAAAAGTAGTAAACCCATTGGCTGTGAACTTGATAACCTGTCATATTCTAGATCGAACGACCCGGCAAATAGATCCACAAAGCTGCAAGCAAGACAAAATGGTATCAAGATTCGAATCGTACTGGATCGCTGAGATCAGCAGCCTGTATACCACAAATACACATTTGGGAAAATCACAAAACGAGGATAGTTGATAAGTAATGCAGCCCTGCATAATGATCTACGGTTAGTGATTTTCCATTCTGGAAGAACTCATGCGAATTGGGAGTTTTATATTGGCCTGCTACCCTGTAATGTCAATCTTTCATTCGGAGCTCAATCTCAGTCAAGAGCCCTATCATCAGAGGAACTGGGCTATAGTTCATTTGGCTAAACCTGCAATACACCAAGTGTTGTTCACACTCAGCCCATATGTTGAGTGTATTTGGTCGAGAAATAGTATGATTTGTAAACGGCACTATTGTCTACTCCAAGTCTGCGCGTTTCAACTACCAATGCTAATGACCATTCCGACTCAGGGGAATGGAACTGGATGTTGGATGCTGAATCCTACTCGTATTCCAAATGAACAATCGTCCCTAGTAGTCCAAGTACGAGCAGAAAGTTCTAGAAGAAAGCAGCGGTGTGCAGGGTTGATGTTGATGCTTGTACCCAGCCAGACGCCCTATTTGATTCAACATGCTTCAATCGTGTTGGCGAGAGCCGCGGAGAAAACACCAGCCAGCGGCGCCATGCGGCCGCTCGTATATCGACCGCGATGACAGGGATACCGCCCGCCTGTTCTGTCTTAGCCACCTCGTATTTGTGGCTCTCTCCTCAAGAGATCGTGGCGGCAATGCCTGCGGCGCCGAGGTCCGAGGAGCACGGGCCGGACAATCTGGTTCTTTGCTTTTCCAGATGCATATCTCCCGATGACAGGGCGGCTTTTGGGTCGCCATGGCGCCGGCAACCGTATGCAGGATGAGCTGGAGATGGCCAAGGCGGGTGTGATTTGCTAATATTGCCGGCAGTTCGGGAAATAGGTCTGCATGTTTTTATGGGACTCGGAACCAAGAATCCTTTCGTACATACATAGTAACAACGTAGCAACGGCATATGTAGGCTGAGTGTGGAGCTTTCAGGAGAAGGGCTCACCAGGTGATGTAGGTGAAACGTAGCACAACACTAACAGGCAGAATCTCTCGTCCGGACTATGATGAATGAAGCAGTCCGTAGCGATTCGAGAGAAGGTCGTACAAGAAACGTGTCGAAGCTACTCTATTACCTCGTCATGCCCTTCCAGCAAGACAGAATGAACCCGACGGGTCAGCCGTTTGTGATCTGCGGCTCTGATAATTCGCATTCAAGCCAACTCAAGGCTCGGCACGGTCTTCCGAGTATGAGTGCCACTGCATATGTTCAACATTGAAGCAGCCATCGTTGGGTCAGATTCTTGTCTGTTGTGATTGCCGATGGGAGGGTCGTATACGGCCGTATGCTATCATTCGTTTCTTCCAAAAGCCCAATCGGAATGGCCGTAGAACTATGCTTGGTTTGAAACGTGGCTAACGGCATCCACGGAAGGTATCAATATGCGAACACGGAGAGTTGAAAAAGACACAAAAGAAGTTATTACCGTAGTGAGGCCTCTCCCGGAGTACGATGCGGCTGGGATCATGCATGGTTGGGCACTGAGCGGCCAGACAAATAAAATGCCATCAATCACAGCGACGATGCCATCAGCACTGCTCCACTGTCGACTCCTTATGCCTGCATGGAATCATTACTTCGACTTCACTCGGAGATCCGTGACACACGACAAGGAAATGCAGGTGTCAAGTACGAGCGCTCGTAATGGCTTTCAACGGCAAGTGGTGTAAGTGCAATCCACGTCAGAGGGGGCGGAGGAAGAGAAGCAGGGGGAGGCCGGCGATTAGGATGACGGGGGGCGGTGTTTTGGGCAAGAGTTGAAATTGCCTATTCCATTTGGACGGAAATATTATTAGAGGATTAGAAGACAGCTGGAGGTTAGCTTCCGGTTACCAAGTGCCGGGGTAGTACGAGCACTGCTCAGGGAGGAAGAATCATGCACACTTTGTGGTGTTGATATTGATATTGAGTTGGATAGTAGCTGCCACTGCATTGAATGTCCATATGCTTGCACTGATTTCATCAGATCATTCTGGAACAATGAATTCACATCAATTGTTGGGACAAAAAAAAGTGTTGTTGTTGCTGCTGCTGCACGAGTACACAAACACAAACCGCCAGGCATGAAATCATATGCAGGGCAGAGAATACGAGCATGACGATGCCAAGGGTACATTGCCGATCATCGAGATGTGGCGCTCCCCCGTCGGCATTTTAGCCTTGACCTGCTAGGGGGTTTAGGGCAAGCCGTGGTGCCCCTAAGCGGCCGTGGCAGGCGAACTTACAGGCGTCCGGTCACGCGCGATGGCGCTGTGCTTTGGGGCAGTTATGGGGACCTCAGGCATGGGGATGTTGGCGAGGGGTGGAAGCTGCTCCCTTGGCTCGAGGTGGCAATGCCTGTCTGAGGAGCAACATTGATGGGAAAGACAAGGACAAGGACAAACTGGATCCAGTCCCGGGCTGATGACAACCGACGATCGTGGAGACTCGCAAACGCCTATATAGTCTCGCAGCTTCCGCCGTTCAAGTTCGAATTCTCCTCTCCATCCAACAACAAGCCTGACAACTTACACCACAAAGCCAACTCTCCAGCACAACGCAAACACCAACCAACCCAACCAACCCAACAAACAACAACAACAACAACAATCTTCAAGATGCTTGCCTCTACTGCTGCTCTTCTCGGCCTTGTCGGCGCCGCTGCTGCCTCTCCCCTCAACGTCGTCCCCAACTACCCTGCCGTCAAGCAGTCCACTGGCTTCCGCCTCTACGTCAACGTCACCGACAAGGCTCTCGACTTCTCGCCCTCCATCCAGGGCCTCTACGTCACCGGCATCCACGTCGGCGCTGGCCTGAACGAGGCCGGCCTTGGCTCCAAGAGCGAAAACCCGAGCATCTTCTACCAGAACGGCACTGCCTCCGACGTCCGCTTCAGCGGCGCCACCACCATCACCGACCAGGGCTCTCCCCTCGTTCCCTACGGCATCTCTCTGTCTCTGGATGCCGGCTCCGAGACTCTCTCCTCCGTCAACATCAACGGCGGTGCCGGCACCAACGCCGTTCAGATCTCCCAGTTCCCCGAGGGCTTCCGCTACCTCGGACCCGAGACCTTTGTCGTCTGCAACGAGCCCCTTGCCTACTACCAGGGCACCAAGTTCAACGTCCTCAAGCAGGCTGCCACCACCATCAGCTCTTCCGGCCAGATCGAGAAGAACATCCCCGCCGGCTGTGTCCCCGTCCGCCTGCTCCCCGAGTGCGCCACGCTCGAGGTGCTCCCTGCTGGATCCTACGCCAGCCACGAGTATGCCATCAACTCTGACTGCTACGCCGATGTCGCCTCCATCAACTGGAGCCTGTACGGACCTTAAATGTGCTCTTGCTCTCTTGTTCTTGAACAGCATCAGCATCACCGCCGCGAATACTTATGATTGATCTTGTTATTGGCCTTTTGGAAGCGAATGGTATATTTTTAATAATGGTGTTACAGCATACGATATTGCCCAGAGCGTAGGGGCACATGGAGTAATATTAATTTAGATAGTAATGCATTATCAACTTCTCATACATCCTTTTCACCTTTGCTCAGCTATCTTTTGATTTTTCTGTCACTGTATGGGCCTTCACACCGTCATTGCATCTGCGCTCATGCCCTTGCCTTGAACCAACACTCCAGCTTTTCGCAAAATAGAAACACAACCTGATACAACATCTGACTTGACACCTTCTGTCTTGGCCGGGAAAGTCACAGTCTTGAGCCACTCCCTCGCATCCTCAGCCGAATAATCTAGGTTCGTCGAGATGTACTCTACCGCCTCGTCGTGGTTGGCGTTGAAATGGGCCACGCCCTGATCCAGCTTCTCAAACAGATCCTTTACGCGAGCGTCCAGCCCTCCCCGAGTGAGCCTCGTCGACGCCACAATCTTCCAGCTGCTCCAGGGCGTGTAAATCTCGCCCACGCGGCGGATCTCGCCCGAGTCGTAAAACTTCTTGGACGTGAAGTGCTCCCACATGAAGAAGTCGGCCTCGCCCGAGTTGACGGCGCCGCGCAGCTTCTCAAAGGTGTTGAGGACGACGGTGTCGGAGAAGGGCTCCGCGCCGGGGGAGAGCCAGCCGTTCTTGTCGGCGAGGACGTAGCCCATCACGTAGCTGCCGGAGCCGATGCGGGAGACGCCGATCTTGCCGCCCTTGAGGGAGTCGACGGCGGTGATCTCGGGGCGCTTGGCTCCGGTTGAGATGGCCCAGCCTTGTGAGTCTGTGTCAGTGTCGGGATCGAGTTGAGACTGTTATCGTGTTGGTTGGATATGTGTATACTCACAGAGGGGAGTCTCAACATATGTTCCCACAAGACGATATCCGCCGTCTCCCTCAACGCCTTCCTTTCCGAGCCCAGCGATCCAAGCCTCTGTCAGGCCAATGCCAATGTCAATCTCATCGGCTCGCAGGGCTGTAATCATGTGGCCGGTGCCTGACGGAAAGGGGACCAGAGTGGCATCGAGACCAAAATACTTTTGAGCAAAGTGCAGCGGGGTAGAAAAGTGCTCCGGCACGAATCCGATACGAAGGGGCGTGGCCATTGTGAGGAGAGGATTGATATCACGAGCGGTATCTTTTTGTGTTGGTGAGTATAAGTGATTTTGAAGCTCGATGTTTTGAATTACTTACGATAGAATGGTGGAAATTGAAGGTGAGGATTTCTAAGCTGGGAATATTCGGTCACGCTGAGTGGGGTTGAAGCCATATATACATGTAATATGACGATGATGAAATAAAGCTCTCACTGACAAGACGACGGGCTTACTGAGCAACAATCGCTGAGTTGGGCCTTTATTTTCTTGACTTATTCTATAAAGTTAAAGTGGTCAATCAGTAGCTCATTTACATTTCTCACTTGTTTCATTAGATGGACAAGTCTCACTCCAATGGATGTCTTTTGAGGCCTTTTCACTGCCAACAGCTCTACACTCATACAAACCTTGGACAATTGGGTGGCATTTTAGCCCCTCCATGCCAGTGTCATCATTGGACGCATGTGAAAAATAGCCCGTTATTCTTATTCCCAACAAGCAGCAATCATTCCATTTCCGTCGTCCGCCCTGAAATACGATTCGCCGTCAGCTCGGGTCATCATTCGCAACTTGAGCCCATTAAACGCGTCATCTGTAGGGCTGCTTGTCCGATCCGAGCACAGCAAAACGAACAACTTTGACAGTCTACCAAGTTCAGCTCGTCTCAGCCGCGCACACTGAGCGAATCATCTTGGCTTAGCCCTTCAATCCTTCAACTCAAAAGAGACCCCTTGATGCCTCCCGTAATGCCAATCCAGCTGCCGTCCTTCCGTCAGCGCATATTTGTAGAACAAAGTGTCTCCTTGTTAGTGTCAAAACATGCAGACCAGGATCATGAATCCACGTAGAGCCGAGCAGCTACGGATATCCACCCTTTATCAATCTCCCCCATTTTTTTCACTGCCCCTGGTCAAATGTGCTCAACTCTTACTTGTAAGATGTACAATAGTGGGCGCTTTTCCTTTCTTCACATCATCTTGTCTTCTTTGTCTTCTTTTTTAGTTGATGCGTAACTGGTTTTCGCAGTCTCTTCTCCCCCATGTCGGACCTCGAGCTGGACAATCCCGCAGATGATGCGCCTCTCCTAGAGGAAAGCGAGCGCCAGCATGAGCCCATCCCCGTTGACGATGAGGCACCGCCTCGAATCCTTAACGCAGCTCGCTGGCAGGTGAAGACGCCAAAGACGGCAGTCAGGATGTATGCCTTTTTGGAGTTTTTGATTGTTGCCAGCGGCATGATGTTGATGGTGCCCGTCTACCGCCTGATCGAGGACACCGTCTGCCACGTCTACTATGCAGACGACTCGCTGGATCTGATTGACGAGATGAAGTGCAAAAAGGACGAGATCCAGGCGCAGATGGCATATCTGCTTGGGTGGCTGGGGCTTTTCCACTCCATCCTGAGTGCGTCTCTGCTGTTTGCCTGAGAGAAAATAATGGCGCTTACTGACTTTATTCGCTCACACAATGGATAGGTTTACTCACTACGTTTCCCTTTGGCTTACTCGCTGACAAGATTGGCCGCAAGCCGACGATGATGCTTGCCTATGGAGGCATGACCTTGTCGCCCATCGCTGGCCCGCTGCTGCTTGGAGTGGCCCAGCACGCTCTCCGAAAGAACCCTTACCTGCTCATGACCGGCTCGCTATTCCTGTTGATCGGTGGTGGAATCCCGGTTGTGCTCGCCATGCTCTTTGCAATGGCGGCTGATGTTAGTTCCGAGAGGGACAAGTAAGGGCACCCCGAAGAATTAATGTGCCATGGTGCGTATCTACGCTCAAAATAGCTGACTATATAACCCTCTCTAGAGCTGCCAGCTTCCTTCAACTTACGTTTGGCGCCACGGCTGGTGGCCTCGCCGGCCCTCTCCTCACTGGATTCTTGATGGAAAAGTATGGCCCCTGGATACCCGTAATCGCCTCTTGCGCCAGTTTCCCTGTCATCTTGCTGTTGTTTTGCTTCATTCCCGAGACGCTTCAGGTGGACAGAACGAAGAAGATGAGCGACAACGACGTGTCCATTAAGCAGCAAATAGTCACAAACTTGGCCGATCTCAAAGACGCCCTGGGCTTGTTGAAGAACCCAAGCATTCCTCTGGTCCTTCTTACGTTTCTGTTTCAGGCCGCACGATTTACAGCGTACACCAGCACGATTGTTCAATACGTTAGCACGCACTTCGGATGGCGCCTTGCTGAGACCACCTTTCTACTGTCTCCCTTTGGACTTCTCAACCTGACCGTGTTGGCCGTCCTGCCCAATATTTCTGACGTTCTCATGTCGCCCCGATTCGGCTACACTTCCTTTAACAAGGACTTGTTTCTTACTCGGACCTCTACAGTATTACTTTTTGTTGGCGCCATGATTGAGGGGTTCAGCCACAACATTTTCTTCTTCGTCGTTGGCCTTTTCGTCGAGACCTTTGGAGCCGCCGCCAGCCCATTGGCCCGAGCCACCATAACGCACTATGTCGAGCCTGAATTTGTATCCCGGCTCTATGCTCTGGTTAGCACGAGCGAGATCATCGGCTCCTTCATCGCCGGCCCGGTGCTGGCGTGGTGTTTCGATCAGGGAATGAAGAGGAAGGGCGTTTGGATTGGGTTGCCCTGGTTTTACATTGCGCTGTTGTCCTTGCTGACTTGGATTGGACTCCTCTTTGTGCGGCCCCCGCCGGCGAAGAAGATTTCAGCCGAGCGGGATGGGGAAGACGAGCCGATGAATCCTCATGAAGACTAGTGTATGAAATTTACTGTATTGCTGCTTAAGCAACAAAGATGAGTGCAGCCGTGACAGTCTCCCGTCTCATCTCTTGGTTGATTTGTAAGTTGTAGAGTAAAGATCAAAGTGAGCCTCAACCCGATCAACCATCAGAGCCACGAAGCACACACTCCATCTGCCCGTTGTCCATATAAAAGCAACCCAATGCCTGATACTAACATGATTGATTCGTCCCCACGCTGACTGTCCAACGGTTGACCTGCCTAAAATGGTGTCGGCCAGCTACTCGATTAGTGCCGCGTCTTCTCCATTAGCCAACCAACCAACCCAACAGGAATCCGCCAGTCGACCCGTTCGTTACGCCTTAGGCCGCGCAACAATCACGCGGCCGCTGACGAGCAACCCGTCGAGTTCCTGAAGAAATAAGTTTAAACAAAAGATCCAATCCAATGGAACTCTCTTCCCCACAGAGCCCGGCCCCGGAGCTAGAGCCGCTGGGCAACTAACTCGTACGTGGGCAAACTACGGGGGCAAAACCCAAAGAGTCATACCGGACAAGCGAAGCTCTCTCTACCTGGATCCTTTGTAGATAACGACTAGGGTTGGCGTTGGGAGAGGGAAAAGATGACCAGTTAGTTACAGTATGACTCGAGATAGCTCTACGGGTACGACTGCCGTACCGTCGTCAGCGCCGCTTCGCGATATGCTCCACGCTTGGATTGGATCTTTTGTTAGCAGGCGATTAGGCGGCGGCATACGTGCGTCTTTGATGGATCCATAGATCCATCTACGGAATGATTAGAGGCTCCTTTTTGACTTTATTATAAAGATTCGGGTCCCCCCACACAGCCCGTCGATATTGTACTTTCTTTCAGCCCTACGGTATTGACATCTTTCAAAAGAGTTGTGCGACCATGGGACTATTGCCGTAATTTAATTTACAAACAAATTGCAACTTTGGTTCTAGAAATGATTCGCCACCGGTCTTACAACGCCACGGCGTGTGGTGATGGCTTCTTTGGCCCGGCGGTTTGGGCCGATGGCTGTCGAGGTGGCTTCGACTTTACACGTGCGATTTCTGGTGAAAAAAGACATTCATTATACGCGGGTTGCTGATTTTTTGATTTTGCTGTACAGTGTCGTTTGAAGAAAGCATCTTGTCCACGCTCCCTGCTGCTCTGTTTCTCCTATTATCCATCCCACGAGCCTTCTACCTTCTACGAACTCCCGACAAGGCGAAGCGACGATCAGCTTATACACCAAAACTAGTCGGTCCTCCATTTTATAACTTCGACGCCTCGCATGGGTATACATCTCTAACTATTTCAAAAGATCGCATCAAGCGCGTACGCAGGCATCCAGGTCGGCGCCCTAGCCATCGTCGCCTCTTCACGACTCCTCAACACTAGATTCTCCCTCGCCGCCGCCATTCTCAACCTCATCGCCGCGTGCTGCATCGTTCTGCTCTCGCACATTGAACACGTCAAATCCATACGGCCGTCTTTCCTCCTCACCTCGTATCTCTTCACGTCCCTCCTTTTCGACGCTGCTCGGTTACGAACGGAATGGCTCCTGTCTGTGAATGTCGCGTATGCGGCCGTGCTATCTACCTCGACTGTTCTCAAGCTGGCCTTGCTAGTGCTGGAAAATGTCGAGAAGAGGAGGATCTTGGTGGACTCGAGCAAGGAACCGTCAACGGAGAGCACCAGCGGGCCCTTTAACCGCGGCTTTTTCATCTGGCTCAACTCGCTGCTTATTTCTGGCTGGGCTACCGTTTTGACAATGCACGATCTTCCCGCTATTTATGAGAAACTCTCTTCTGAGAAGTTGGCAGTTATTTTCACAAAGCGATGGGATAAGGGTAAGTTTTCGCGGTGGACTCGCTTTACACATTTGTTCTCTTCGTAACTGACGTCTGTCAAGTCACCCGCGATGGTCGAAAGGCATCCCTCTTTCTCAACACTGTCTGGATCCTCAAGCTCGAAATCGCCGGCATTGCTCTTCCTCGACTGGCTACGGTTGCCTTGACAATTGCGCAGCCCTTCCTCGTGTCCCAAGCGCTCCGATTTCTCGCCATGCCCAAGGATGATCACTCTGACAACATCGGCTACGGATTGATTGGTGCCTTTGCTCTCGTCTTTGTCGGATCGGCTGTGCGTTTATACTTCAATAAGCACAGAAAACATCATCTCTAAATTAGGGCTAATTCATGAAACTAGATCTTGACGGCATGGTACGAACACCTCACATTTCGAGTTGGTGCCATGATTCGAGGAGGCTTGATTGGCCTGATTTACCGCAAGATGTTGAGGCTCTCGGCAAGCGAACTGGGCGAGTCTTCAGCCGTTACCCTCATGGGCAATGACATTGAGACTCTGGCCGAGCGAGCAAACGCTTTGCTCATCGAAGGCTGGGCCAACACACTTACCGTCGGTATCGCCGTCTACATGTTGTACGCACAACTGGGCGCTGTCTGTGTTGCTCCCATCGTTATGGCTATTGGTAAGACTCACAATTGAGCTTACACATTGTTTCGATTACATACTTACAATTCATAGTATCAATCGTCTTGTGTTGGTTTATTGGAAAAGTCCTGGTAAAGCGCCAGACCGTCTACCAGAAAGCAACACAGGCTCGCATCAACTTCACCTCTGAAGTGCTTGGCTCCATCAAAGCCGTCAAGATGCTGGGCTATACTGAGCGCTTCACTGACCTCCTTGAAGATAAACGTGACCAGGATTTGAACGTCGGCAAACACTACCGTCAAATGATTGTGTGGGCCAACACTGTTGGTAAGTTAATCTCTCTCCCCGTATTCAACAATTCTATTTGAACATTCTTAACTCATCTTTGTGATGTTTGACAGGGAACGCAAACGTCAGTCTTACTCAGGCTGCTACATTCGGCGCCTACGCCATTGTCGCCAAACTCAGCGACAACCAGTCCTTCTCCGCATCACAGGCCATCACGGCACTTTCTATCCTCAACGTCATGATCAACCCCCTCAGCTTCCTCCTCGGCAACATTTCGTCCGCTTATGCTGCATTTGGATGTTTCAAGCGCATCCAGGAGTTCCTACTGCTCAGCGAGAGGGTTGATAGCCGTGAGATTTGCGCACAGCCGGGGCTTTCAACGAAGAGCGACGAAGCGGGATCGCAAAGGAGCAGTATTGAACTTCGCACGCTTGATCGTGACAACGAAAAAGGCGCCCGTGTCTCTATTGCTGGAGGAGACTTTGCCTGGAAGGAGAAGAAGGTATTGAGCAACATTAGCGTGTCCTTTTCGCAAGCGCAATCGGGATCCCTCACCATGATCGTTGGTCCAATTGGTTCCGGAAAGTCAAGTTTGCTCAAGGCCATTCTTGGAGAAACATCGTCAACTAGCGGTAAAGTCTCACTCTCGACACCCAGCATCGCGTTCTGTGACCAGACTCCTTGGGTGATGAATGCAACAATCCGGGACAACATTGTGGCTGAATCTGGGCACTTTGAAGACAAGTGGTTCGACACCGTTGTTGAGGCTTGTGACTTGGCTCAGGATTTCACTCGGCTGCCAGAAGGTATTGCGACCGTTGTTGGAGATAAAGGGGTGAAGCTCAGCGGAGGCCAGAAGCAGCGACTCGTAAGTGTATTCAACCTTTCGATTCGTATGAACCGAGTGTCTAACTACTTGCAGGCGATTGCCCGTGCCATATACGCCCGAAAGCCGGTAGCCATCTTTGACGACGTGTTCAGTGCATTGGATAAGGCAACGGAGCGCATCGTATTTGCTCGTGTGTTCAGCAGAGATGGCCTCCTCCGACGCAGTGGCACAACAGTGATTCTTGCTACACACTCTGGTAGGTCTCATCACTATTATCTCTAAAAGTATGGAAACGAGATTCTAAACAACATCTCTAGTTCATCTTCTACCCAGCTCCGACCACATCATTGCCCTAGGCCAAGACGGCCAAGTCATCGAGCAAGGATCTTTCGCAAAGCTCCAGGAGAGCGGCAAGTACGTCCAGAGCCTCGACGTCACGGATCCCCATTCCGACAACAACAGCGAAACTTCCTCCAAAAAGGACATTGAAGAGATTGAAAAGGTCAATGAGAGTGCCGAGGAGGAGGAAGTAGAGCAAGAAACGGGAGAGCAAGGGTCGGTTTCAAGTGACCGCAGCACTTTCAAGTATTACTTTGGCGCGATGAGACCCCTTAGCTTGGCTGTTGGCGGCGCATACGTTATTGGACAGGCCTTCTCATCGACTTTCAGATGTAAGTGATTCTTTCTAGAGCAACTATTCGATTTATCGCTAACAGGCTTCTGTAGCTGTTTGGCTTACGTGGTGGGGTGATGGCCGAGGACGCTCAAGCAACGATGTCGGATACTGGTTGAGCATCTTTACAGTCATGGCCGTCATCGAGGCTGTGCTTATATCTCTGGCAATCATGTAAGTGCAAGCTCAACCAATAAACATACGCATACTAACAACATGTCAGGCACTTTTTGATTATTCTTGGACCAGCAGTCAGCAAAAAGTTCCACAGCAGAATATTGAACGCAGTTATGAAGTAAGTCCTGGACTCGGAGCTGACTTGTTCTTTAGAGTGTTGGACTAACATGGCATCAGGGCTCCCATGTCGTTTCTTTCTAATTCTGAAACTGGTTCCCTTATCAACAGGTGCGTTCTCCTCTATCATATATACCTATTAGTTTACTAACATGTCGTCTTGGAAATAGATTTAGTCAAGACTTGCGTCTGGTAGACATTGACCTCCCTGTCGCCCTCGCCATCTTCCTTTTTGGTAACTCCCCCCTAACCCATCCTCGCAATTAAGATAATTTGACAGCTGACTCGATAATTATAGATATATCAACTTGTATCGGTGTAACGGGACTGGCAGTTGGAGCCGTTGGCTACTTTGCCGCATCCCTCCCCTTTGTCATCATCGTCCTCCTCATGATCCAACGCTTCTACGTCCGCACATCCAAGCAACTCCGTATTCTAGAGTAGGCATTACCCCAAAATCCCATTTAGTATCATCCATTAACCGTTAACCTCTAGGATCGAGCACAAAGCGCCACTATACTCCCACTTCCTCGAATCCATCAACGGCCTCGCCACAATCCGCGCCTTTGGCTGGACCGTCCCCTACTCGCACAAAAACCTCTCCCTTCTCGACAACGCCCAAAAGCCATCCTATCTTCTCAACTGCATCCAGCGATGGCTCACCCTCGTGCTCGACCTCGTCGTCGCAGTTCTCACCGTTCTGCTCGTCGTCTTCGCCGTGGTTCTCAGGGGCAAGCTCAACCCATCCCTCCTTGGTGTTGCGCTCGTCAACATGATGAACCTGGGCCTCAACCTCAAGGGCATCATCCTCGCGTGGTCTCAGCTGGAAACCTCGCTTGGAGCCGTTACCCGTATCAAGACCTTTGAAGAGACCACCCCGTCGGAACTGCTCCCCGAAGAAAACTACACGCCCCCTGAAGAATGGCCTGCTCAAGGCTCTCTCGAATTCGTCAGCCTCTCCGTGCAATACGAGTATGTGTCCTTTAACTTCATCCCCCCTCACGTCAAAAGACCCTGAAGCTAACTCCCCATTCTTCCACAGCTCAACCTCCCACCACGTCCTCCAAAACATCTCCATCGCCATCAGGCCCGGCGAAAAGCTCGGCCTCGTCGGCCGCAGCGGCAGCGGCAAAAGCTCCCTCATCCAAGCCCTCTTCCGCATGGCCAACACCCCCTCTGGCCAGATCCTCCTCGACGGCCAGGACATCGCCAGGGTCCCCAAGCCCCTCATCCGCCAGAAGCTCAGCTGCCTCACCCAGGATCCTTTCCTCTTCACCAACACGATCCGGTTCAACGCGGACCCTCTTGGAGTCCACTCCGACGAGGCTATTGTCAGCGCCCTGCAGCGAGCTGCTATATGGGATGTCATCACTTCTAAAATCGACGCCGATAAGAATCCCCTCGATGAGAAGATGGACGAGAATTTCCTCTCTCACGGACAGAGACAGTTGTTTTGTCTTGGAAGAGCACTCCTCAAGAAGAGCAGTATCCTCATCCTCGATGAACCAACGAGCAGGTATGTTTTCTCACCCCCAAACCAAAAAAAAGAAACTTCAGCATGAAGACAAGCTAATCATATACAAACAGCATCGACAACCAAACTGACGCCCAAATCCAACGCGTCATTAAATCAGAGTTCAAAGACCGCACAGTCATCATGATTGCGCACCGCCTCGACTCATTACTCGATTTTGACACAATCGCCGTTCTCGAAGACGGAGCGCTGGCGGAGATTGGCGCCCCTGACGACTTGCTCTTGAAGGGCGGTGCTTTCTCCAAGCTTTACGCTTCGGATAAAACAAACAAGAGGAGGAGTTCAGACGAAATTTCACGAGAATAAACGGCCCTCGCTGTACGATGACGAGTTTACGAATCTTAATTAGAAACTATGATTAATTTGTGTTTAGTAATAGCCTTGATAGATTTTTAATAAATTATCAAAAATATATAACTTCTATATTGATGCGGAATATCCAAAAAGATGTTCCTTCCAGGGTACACACTATCTACGCAATCCAAACAATACGCCTTGCTATACCCATATGCTATTATCATCACCAATATTGTGCAAAATCCTCCAGGGATCGAATATTCAACACGAAGCCCTCATATTACTTCCGCATCAACGCAACATATATGTAAGATCAGGAATGTCATCTAAAAGCCTGGCCACGGTCTCCTCATCCGCAACGCTCAAGCTAGGTCTTGGTGACGATGGCAGGACAAGCGACGTGTCGGCAGACATGGTATGGGTATGGCGAGTGGGAGTGACTTGAGGCGGTGTCATTGGCTTGGAGAGAGGACTGGGGAACGATGGTGTCAAAGGCGTCTTGCCTCCTCGTTTAAAGGGTTTGCTGAGCGTCTGTCCCAAGTGCCATGAAAAGGGCCGCTTGCTCGGAGCCTTTTCGATTTTTGATGCAAGGAGATTGGGGCTTTCATACACCGTTTCAAACTGGAGGGAAGACTGAGGAGGGATGCTGTGGCGGTTGCTGACGGTGTCTTCTTCCTCCGTAAATGACATAGTAGTGGTTGGTGTAGCAGTCATCATCTCGCCCCAATCGTCATCGTCCTCTTTGTTGATGGGGTAGGTGGGAGGAATCTGAATTGGCGTGGGGATATGCGCTCGGGTATGCTGAGGCGGCGGATCAAGAGACATGGATTGCCGAGCTGAGCCTGCTTTGGATTCTTTCGTTGAGTGCACTTCTTGCGCATCTCTTGTGAGCTCATTGGCCAAAGGATGTCTGGAAACCGCTGGTGATGATGGGTCGCTGCCAGCCCAGGCGAATGACGATGTGGTAGGCGATGCGACTGGCGATTGCACGGTTAGAGATGAGTTTCTCGAATGCCTTCCCAGGAACTCTCCAATTTCCACTTGAGGTGCTGGTGAATTCCAGTTGAACATGACCGCACCAGATCCACCGAGCCGTCTACCCAGAACCACGCGCCCGGTAATAGAGTCTTCTTCCATCCATCTCCTCACAGTCGCAGTGGTACGCTCTCGTACTTGTGACTTGGACCAGCTAACGCGTACGTAATTCTCATCACCTCCCATATCGTGCTTCCTCTTCGACCCATAACGCGAGACTCGGTACCACGCTCTGCGTTCATTGCTTGAAGCAAAAGTGTCGTCGATGATGACGTCTGGAACAAGCTCTGCTTCTGTCTTGATGGGCGGCGTCGACGGAAACAAATCGTCAAGCTTGGCAAGATCAATGGGAAAGTGAATCTTTGACGTTCGAGACGCAGGGCGTTCCACAGCGTCTGACTCGAAAGGTGTTTGCCAGACGTTGGGTTCGCTCACAGTTGGCACTGGCGGAATATCATGCTGTGGCTCCTGCCACGGGCGCTCATTTTCTGCGACAACCTCGCTCTCAGCGTCCAGTGAAGGCTGAACGATTTCTTGTTCCGAGACGACTGCCTCATCCTCAATTACTTCAGCAGGTGGAATTGGTTGTTGTTCCTCCTCTACCTCGAAGCTATTCTGGGGAGCAATGGTTTCCTTTTCCCGAGCAGGCTCCTCGGCCGTGAATAGCACCTCAGCTTGCTCTTTGTCATCGACAGCACTAGGCCCTGGTGCCTCTGCATCAGGAGTAAGCTCTGGTTGTTCGGGTTGGACAGCCGCAGGTACTGGTGCTCCAGTATCAGGAGAAAAGTCTGGTAGTTCAAGTTGAATGGCCGGAATCACCGCCTCGGCTGCCGGCGCTTCCGGCACCGCATCAACAGGCCATGCCTCGTCCGCGGCATCAATATCCAACGGTGGCACCACGACAGGGATATCATTCTTTAAATCCTTCTCTTTCTGTAGTTCATGTTCATCCCCGAGGCTAATTGCAGAATCCACGACTCGATCGTCGCCCGAAGCCTCTGAAGCTCTCCTCTCCCTCGGCTTCCTTTCCTCATGTTCCAGCGCCGTCGTGTCCAGTCGTTTCAGGGCCACATCTTTCCAGGGATCCGGTGATATCGACCTCACCGACGGTGCGCCTTGCAGCGGCTTCAGCCCAGGGCTTCTCCCCCATCCGGGGCTTTCCTTGCCGCTGCCGCTAGCATCACCGCCATTCCACCCGCCCCAAGCATCGTCGTCTTCCCATGCCGGTGACCGCGATCGTGACGGCGCTTGCGAACGAGAGTTTCGTCGAGGGAAAAGATGGTCGGCCGAGAAATGCGCATTCTGGGGCGCGACTGGGAGTTCTATCTTAGCCGGAGAGTCTGCAGCCCACGGCGAACCCCACGGATCTTCCATTCCAGGCGACTGGGCATGTCGCGTAGAGACGGATTGATAAGGCAAAGAGTCGATGCGTCAAGAAATATTTGTTATAGCGTGTTGATCATGAGCTGTGCCGCAACATTGCGAACCTGTGCAATCAGGGCCGGTAGTCCAATCTCGCTTCTCCTGGAACGACAATCAATGTCCCCTTCCCAGGATAAGGTAGACGGAATAAACAAATAGGAGCCCGTCGAAATCGGCGATGCGCAGCGCAATCGAACGCCGCGGAAGTAGGACGGAAGCTGCGGCGGTGATCTAGAAAGACCAATAAAGTTCTCACCTCATCATTGCCTGCGCAGCGGAGCCGTGCGTATTGCTTGGTTGGCTGCAGTGCAGTAAGGCTGGAGGTTGGAAGAGAGGAAAAGAATGGAAGAGCATCTGGGATGGTCGAGAGTGATTCTTGGCGGTCGCCAATCAGTGGACACTCGACTCAGACAGGGGGTTCAGGGACCTGCCTTAGCGAATTGCTTGATATTTTGCACGCCCCGCGGTCCGCGTCATCCTTGCATGCACGTAAAAGGGTTCAACGGCTACAGTACCAACAATCACGGGCTGTGAACAAATTGTTGATGTCAAGAGGAATGAATCTTCATTGAATGCCATCATGCAGCTCTGCTCTCTCAAAAGTAAATCCCTTTGCTTGCCACTCTTCAGATGCTGTACATGCTCCAACTAGCACAATGTATCTACCTAATGTAATATACCCCCCTTCGGCCATGCGAATAATATACCCCAGCCCAAAGCTCGCAACCAGCTTGGGAAACCCTCAAAGCAACCAGAATGACCTATTATCGTCCAAAGAACTCCATGCTAAGCCGATCATCGTCAATCGTAACGGAAGATTGTCGCCAGCGAAACCACCCAAAGACAAAAACACCTCAGAGAATAATCTCATGGCCAGGCTTCAGCTCCCACTCCTTGCTTCGGCCGGCGCCTTTCTTCTCCGCAACATGCTCAATCGTGTTCTTGACTTCCAAGCGTGAGGCACTATCCTTGAACTGATGGAAGATGAAGTCGACGATGCCGACTTTAGAGAGAGCCTTGTTGTCCAAGATGGCTTGTTTGATTTCGTTTAGAAGTTCGGGCTTGACAAGTTTGCCTGGGGTTGAGGTGGAGCCAGCAGCACCTCCCAAGGCGGCAAACGCGTTTGTCTGAGCAGGCGGGGGAGCCTTGGCATCGCTCTCGGCTTTGATAGCTTTTGGTGTTTTGCTCTTGGCAACCTTGCTAGGCTCCGGTTCCCAGTATTTAGTAGAAAAGGGATCAATGTCCCATAGCTGGTTGAGACCCTCTGAGGAGTGTGTTAGTAGCAGGACTCGAATTTCAACTGGGTGAACAGCCAGAAACTTACCATGAATGAACTCCATCTTGCTGTCGTTCAGAGCTGGGACTGTGCCTTTCCGGTTCTGGTTCTCAAAGCATGGGCCCGTAATATCCGGCTTTAAGGTGTCGGCAAATACTCTTCTAGAGAGGCCAACATCCTCGGAATCATCAAGAAAACCGTCCATATCATCCTCGTCATCCAACTCCTCTTCTTCGTCTTCCAGGTCGAGATCCTCGCCTTCTTCCTCGTCCTGCCATTCAGCTTCCGAGTCATAATCGTAGTCGAGTGGTAGCCGACGGCCCGTTGATTTTCGTGCTAGTTTATGCATGTTTCCTTTGCCAAGAGCAAAGGGCTTGAAAGTCATTGTACCGTAATAGGGAGGACGTACATCCTGCGAAAAAGCAATTACTTTCATAGGGATTTTGCTCAGCCCGGCCTGGAATTCTGCCAAAATCTTGCTAGAATCTGAACTTCCACTCTTCCCAGCGTCTTGCGAAGCCTTGTAAGCTGTCTCCATCAAATGCCGGACTGGCTGATGGAGCTTGCCACGGGGTGTAGGGAGACTGGAAAAGGAGAATGCCTCTTGGGGGTCGAATTTTGGAGGAGCGCTTTCGCCGCCCTGACCTGTAATATAGTCGTCTAGGATTTTTGATTTCGCTTCCCGAGTCGTCTCATCCATTTGCCCTGCCATCGGCGCCAGTGAAGTGTTTTCTTTGACGAAAAACGGTTTGAACATCTTGGAGTATTCCGATACTGTCTGTTTCTCGACCACCGAGGAGCTAGCCTTTGCGGGGCTATCTTCTTTGGCCACATCTTCTCCCGCAGGTTTCTTGGGAGTGCTGGGGATCTTGAAGAAGCTGCCTAGAGTCTTCTGACTTCTGGCTTTCCGCTCAGCTTCCTCTTCCTTCTTTCGCTTCTTGTCGGCCTTGACTCGTTCCTCTTCTTCTTTCAGCTTTCGCTTCTCTTCCTTTTCCTTTGCTCGTGCCGCTTTCTCCTCTTCCTTTTTAGCCTTTTCTACTGCCTGTACTGCTGCCTTCTCCTCACGTTCCTTCTTTTTCTCAGCGAGCTCCTTATCTCGGACTTCTTTTTTCTCGGCAAGTTCCTTATCTCGAGCTTCTTTTTCTGCCGCTGTAAGGCGCTTCCGTTTCAGCGGTGGGTTCATATCTGCGGGGGGCTTTGAGTCTGATGCTGATGCGGAGGTTCCAGAGATGTCTAGTTTTGCAACGGCTTTGACCGGTGATGACGGTAAATGTGAATCGTGTGTCACTGTGTCATCTCCAACTTCCGATGGGGCAGGCGATGATAACGGTGAAGATGGAGGCGCTGTTAGATGTTTAGTTTCTTGTGCTGTCACTTAGTCATGGGGGACTCAAGTTTTGTGCTCACAGTCATTGTTTGGCTCTCGAATATCCATTGGCGAGATGTTCTTAACATCTTCAGCCGGATCAACTTTTCCCGACTCAGCGGAGAACTCGTGGTGACTTCTTTTGCGCCCAGAGGACTCCGGCTCCCTGGCGTTATGTGACACCTCAAGAAGAGGCATTGTGATCCAAATTGCGGTTTAAATGGACGCAGCTTTCTCGGGATTGCGTAGAAACTACCTTCGCCTGTGGAAGAAACCCTGGCGTTGCATTCGGCAGCTGGGCATGTGTCTGCACAAGGATCAGAGAGGAGGGGGCAATGCGCAGCGGTGCAGAGCAGATCTGGTGAATCGAGAGGCAAAAGTTGAATGAAGCAGACCAGGAAGAGAAAACGAAGCTGATTCTAATTGCTGTTCAAACAAAGGGAACGAGGGGCGCGTGGTCACTTCGACGATGATAGAGGCTGTGCTTGATGTTGAATTGGATACTCGATACAAATTAGTGCAGCGTCGCGATTGCTCTGAACGCGTTAATTTGGCGCTTCCCACTTCCGAGGACGCGTTAATCGCTATGGAGAAGTCCAGGCAGCCACGGCTAAAAGTCGGGAGCTGAGTTTGGCGCTCAAGCGCTGCAGAGATAACAAGTAGATAGTACTAACTGACACCGCATGATTGAGGCTGCTGGGGGATGTACTGGCTACTCTCCCTCTATTCCTCAAATCGGCATTGGCATCTCACAAGACGGAACAAATACTCGCAGGATTGGGGCTTTGTGATACCCTCACCACAACTCCAAGACGCTGTACGAAGTATTTCATGCTGAGATACATAGTTTTATGACTTGCCAGACGACCACCAGAGTTGCCTCACACGACACACTTATAGAGTTTGAATCACATGAAAAGAGCATCACGCCCCTCGTAAGTTAGAGTTCCACACATGACACCAAGCAGATGCCTTTTCGAAACTAGATTGGATGCACAAAAAGAGATGCTTTATAAAGATCTCACCGGGCTTATATTTGCAGAGCACCAAAGGTAATACGCAAAGAAAATGCTTCTATCCTAGCCCGCCCATGTCAATCATGCCAGTGTTTAGTTCCCGCCATGCAAATGGCTGAGAAAATCGATGACGACAGGATTGCCAATCTGATTCATGCAAATAAATTAACATCCAGCAAGTCGGCAAAGCATCCGACATCTGAATAGCAAATCACCCGACGGAGAAAAAAAGGTATTAACATATTAACCATTACGTCATATTATCTTCTTTCAACTGGCCGTTCTCGGGCACGTCAAATGTACTTTTTCTCCCATTTCTCACGGCTCTCCCATATCAGCCTCGTCTCAGCCGTCTCGCTCAACCAGCGAGCTTAATCCCAGAAGCGAAGGTGTATTAGACAAGCAAACAAAATATAAAGTGTCAAAGAGGTCCTTATTAGCGACTGCACTTCCCTCCCCCAAATGCCCAAAGTGATATCAACATATCCAAACGCCTAACAATGCGGGTAGTAAAACTATAGAAGAACAACGAGAGAAGGAGAAGAAAAAAGATAATGCACATGAACGATTGTGAATTTGTAGTTGTTGTTGGTGGTGATTTTGATTAGGAGATAACGAATGGCAGGCAATTGAGATGGCGTCGTCCGTCGTCGCGTAGTAATGGAATGGTGTATATGCGGAATGTGTAGATGTCGAAAAAAGGGAATTTTTTTCAATCAGGGTTGGCAATGTAAAGGCGCTGCGAGGTCAGGGTGGCTGTTCGCTCGTCGACACTTCCTCTTCTCTTGAGCTCCTCAGGAGACTTGACGCTCTTTTCTCTTGTTAGGGCAGAGTGCATCAGCGACTTGCTCGCAAGTCTTGGGGCCGCTCCCAGTTCGCCGACATTGTCTGCGCGCTCAGCGCTGCTACCGCTGTGCGTGCTCTGAGCTCTTCCACTGGCGGCATCGTCAATGACTGGCATAGTGTCTTCTGGCTGCTCAACCAAGCTTCCAGCCCTTTCTGGAGTATCGCCGGGGCTCCATCGCCGACCGCTTTGGGATCCAGTTCCGGTGACAGTGCCTCCAGAGGCTCTGTAAGAGACGTTGCGGCGGCTGCTGCTACCAATGCTGCTCCGTCCGCTGCTCCCTGTCCTGCGGTGGTGCGAGCTCGACGCGAATTCCTCCTCGCTGCTCTCGCCCTCGACTTCAGTGGCGCTGAGTCGCATGGGTACTCCTCCAACGCCGACGTGGTTTTCGTTGGCATATCCAACCACGGGCAACTTGCCGTGATGCCGGATCTTGGCAGCGACCTTTGT